TTAGCAGGTCAATATGACCCTGACATTGGGAAAGGGACTAATTCGGGCGTTACCATTAGGGCGTTACCATTAGGGCGTTACCAAGAGGGCATAGGAGGGGAAATATGCATTCTTGTCTTAAGAGAGTACATTCTTTACGTTAATGGTTAAAGCGGATGTACAATGTATGTTTGATAGGCCATAAGTCAGGCTTTTTAGTTCAAGCTGAATCAGTTTTGAACCCAAATAGTTACCCCATATACCTCAATATGTGAAAATCTCTTGTTGTGTCATGTCTCTGATCAGTCTCGCCTCAGTTGTGAAGTCTTCCCTGTTACCCACAAGGGGCACTATCTGCTCGCCGCAAGACAAAAGCCAATTGCCAAGAGGCAAGATGGAGGCAGAGAAAGGGCATTTTATTAAGCGATAAGCTAGCAAATCAGCAGATGGGGGGGACTAGTGTCCTAAAGAACCATCTTAACCCTGGTGGCGCAAGCGGTTAAGTGCTCGATTGGCGGCCCAGGTTCGCAGGTTCGGTTCCCCGGCGGCCGCTTGTCAAGCCATGCTGTGGAGGCATCCCATATAAAGGAGAGGAAGATGGGCACAGATGTTGCCCCAGGGCCAGTCTTCCTCAGCAAAAAAAGGACGATTGGAGCCTGATGCTAGCTCAGGGCTGATCTTCCTCACAAAAAAAAAAAAAAGGAATGGTCTTAAGGGGGCACAAAATCTTACAGCAGTTCTACGGCAGTTACATAGGCCGGTGGTTATAGGGGAGGAGGTTAGGAATGTTGACCTTCTGGTGTTACAGACTGGGAGTGCCACACCAGATCTTTCAGTTTTTGTTGATGATGGCTGTCAGCACAGACTCTCTGTTCGGGGGTCATCACATTCCTAAGGAACTCAAAAGAACAAAGTTATCATCTCATTGCAGCTGGGAGGTACATACACAAGCAGGAGTTGTAAAATCTACGGAGCAGTTAGATCTCCTGGAGATCTAACTCCTGGGTTAGTTAGTCAGAGGTCATTCAAAGTTACAACATGGTTTCTTTTCTACAATATGGCTTCCCTTATGTCAACCTTGAGTTGAGCCTGTATGGTTCCTTACCCACCCTATTTAAAATTGCAACTATCCTCCACCCATCTGTCACACTCCCTGGCAGTCCTTAATCTCCTTGGTCTGTTTCCTTAATCTCCTTTCTTCTTTACTTACCAAAATATCGTATTTGTTTATTTTCTGTCTCCCACAATGAGAATGTCAGTGAGCTCCATAGAGAGAGAGAGGTCTTTGCCCATGTTATTCATTGCTCCATTTCCAGCACCTAGAACACTGTTGGGCACACAGTAATCACTCAAAAGGTTTTTGATGAATGGATGGATGGATGAAGTAAAATAAAAATATGCATGTAACACACTATGTCCATCCATTCTTTAGCCCCAGAGATAAGGTCCATGACTGAATTATCCAAATGAGCCCCTTTGTAAGGTAGTTCACCTCACTATGCTTCAGTTTCTTCATTATTGTATTTGGGCTAATAATGGCACACAACCCATAGAGTTATTGTGCGGATAAAACAAAATAATCTCTGTAGGCACCAATTACAGATTTTTGAACTAACGAGATCATGAATCTTTTACCATCTTGACAGTGCTCAAGGCAGGTATAGTTAATATCTCTATTTGGCAAATGACATAACACTGACAGAGAGTGTGACACCGAGCTTGCACCTGACAGTCAGAGGGCTTGGACTCGTCCAGAAGAACTGCTACTGACTGAGTGACCCAGTGAGACAAAGCTGGGTAGCTCAACACCGTCCCTGATACAAGGACCTCTTGCCTGGTTCCTGAAGACATTCGAATTTGCAATCCAAATAAATGGAGTTTGCTACCTGAGGGTACAGATTGTGCCTGTGGCCATATAACTAGTGAATTGAAGTGCCATGATATGAACCAAGTTTAACCCTGAGCTAACTTTTATAGATTTTCTCTTTTCTCCCTAACTATAAAATGCTCCAGGTCAGCTTCTATTTTCAAGGTCTGAATAGCACAAAACAGAAAGAAAACTGGGGCCCAGTTTTCATACTGGAGCACAATTGAGACTGCCTAAAAATAAAGCAGAACATGCTTAAATGAGAGACGGACACAAAACTCCTCTCAAGGCCTTGCATCTCACTTAGAGCAAAAACCAAATTTCTTTCTTTCTTTTTTTTTTTTTTTTTGTGAGGAAGATCAACCCTGAGCTAACAGCCATGCTAATCCTCCTCTTTTTGCTGAGGAAGACTGGCCCTGAGCTAACATCTATTGCCAATCCTCCTCTTTTTTTTTTTTTTTTTTACCCCCAAAGCCCCAGTAGATAGTTGTATGTCATAGTTGCACATCCTTCTAGTTGTTGTACGTGGGACGCGGCCTCAGCATGGCCGGAGAAGCGGTGCGTCTGTTCGCGCCGGGGATCCGAACCCGGGCCGCCAGTAGCGGAGCGCGCGCACTTAACCGCCAAGCCAGGGGGCCGGCCCTCAAATTTCTTATAGTGACCTAAAAGCCCATACTTGATCTGGCATCCTTTTCTTTCTCTGCCTTCATCTCCTCTTGTGTCCTGCCCATTCCACACAGCCACCCTGGCCCCTCAGCCCTCTTCCTCCTCTTTCCACAGCTTGCGTCTCTCGTTTCACGTCTTTGCCAAAACACTATCTTAGCGCCAGCTTCACTGGTCACCTTATCTAAATTGCAGCTCCCCATAATGCTCCTTATTCTTGCTTTATTTTTCTCTTTCTCACATCTAACATACTACATGTGATCTTTATTTATCTCATGTATTGTCTCTCTATCCCAGACTCAAATATAAATTCCAGGGAAGCATTTTGTCTGTTTTGTTCTCTGAGTATATCCCCCATGCACAAAACAACATCTGGCACATTTTGAACTCTCAACAAATACATGTGGAGTAAATAAATTTTAAAACTCATCAACGTTACGAAATGTTGTCTTTTGGGGGAGTAATGATGGCAGTATAATTAGGTTTTAAAATGGTAGATGTGTATTAAAATAATGAAAGAGGAAATGATTTACTTTACAATAATCAAGGCAGTGGGGTGAAAAATATCTATAGATAAAACATATTTGGTTAGTGGTGATGATGTTGAGGCTGGGTGAAGGATATATAGAGTTTATAAAACTATTATTCCTACTTCCATATATTCTGAAATGTCACATGATAAAAGTTTTAAAAAATAAAAACAATACCTGAAAAAAGATAAATTGCTAAATGAATTTAAAAAACCTATGGAGAAAGACCAGATGAATACCCAAACAGGATGTTGTGCTATTCTGTACAGGAAAGGCCCAATGTGATGACGGAGAAGTTTCCACGGGTTGTCAGCCAAGAAGTCCAGGATGTTCCTCCTTGTAGCATCCCTGACAACCTGGTATTGTCAACCACTGAAAGCTGCTCCATTTCTTAGCATAGGCTCACATCAGCCCTGTCCTAAGAAATTGCTATAAAAGCCAGGGACTATTTGATTCATTACAGTGAGATAAACAGTCATCAAGAAAGCCAGAAAGTCCTCTTTTGAAGACCAGTATATTCTGGCTGGAGGCAAACTCCAAGGAAAGCCTGATTCCGTTAAACAACCCCTTGCTAAGCCTGGAATCAAACAGGAGCTAATCACAATATTAGAATTCATTGGGCCGGCCCCGTGGCTTAGCGGTTAAGTGCACGCGCTGCGTTGCTGGCGGCCCGGGTTCTGATCCCAGGAGGACACGACGCACCGCTTGTCAGGCCATGCTGTGGCGGCGTGCCACATAAAGTGGAGGAAGTTGGGCTCGGATGTTAGCTCAGGTCCAGTCCTCTTCAGCAAAAGGAGGAGGATTGGCATGGATGTTAGCTCAGGGCTGATCTCCTCACAAAAAAAAAAAAAAGATTAGAACTCATGTAGCATCTAGTCTTGGCCCTAGCTACCTGTTAGAAGCACCGGAGTTTTAATTACTATTGCCTGGGCCCACAATTAAATTGGTACTGATTGGACCACAAGCAGAAATATTTCTATGAAACCTCCAATTGACTGTTATGTGCACTCAACATCGAGACCACTGATCTATAATGAAATAAAACTATCTTAGGTGCACCTTGTTATGTGCAATTGCTTTAGAGAACATTTACTTTTATTACATAAACAAATGTTCAGTTTCCAAACGCTTACTCCTGGTGAGAGTTCAGACAGGCTGCTTTTCTTGATGAGACCAAAAACACCATTTTTAAAAATAGAGGCAATTCTTAACTGGTGTTCATGAGAATCACGTGAGGTGAACTTGGGAGTATAGACTCTGACTCAGTAGGCCTGGGTGGAGTCTGAGAATGTTTCTAGCAACCTCCCAAGTGATGCCCATGATGCTGGTGAGAGACCACACTTTATGAGTCCCAAGACTGTAAAATATCTTAGGGCTCTACCACCAATAAGCTCATTAGAAATCCTGATTGAGCAGTCTAATTTTTTTATATGAGAAACCAACTATCAGCAAAACAATGCTCTCACTGTTTAATGTGTAGACAAACATTTCACAAGAAAGCCAAAACTGCTTCACTTTTAACTTAATTTACATCCCACTGCCAGAGCCAAAATTCCCATCTTTAGGCAACTTCTGCCTGTGATCTACCCACTTAAAATGCACAAGGCTGCAGAGGGAGTTAAGCAGGCAGAAACATCAGGAGTTTTCAACTCAGCAGTTCCACAATACTCAGCAAATAAGTCCAGCCAAGTTTGCTCAGCAATTCATAACAAATGTCGATGTAAACCTCTTAAGTCACACTATTTCAAACAAAATTTCAAGAAACATTAGAACCAAGACTTGATAAAAACTCCATAGAATTGTCTAGTTACAGCTATTTTAAGAGAAAAGTAGGTGGCTCTTAGAAGAGCCTTTGAGTTGGATTAATTAGTGCTGAAAAAACTTTATGCCCTCTCCCCACGAATCCGGCGCGCGAGCTGGATGTCTTTGGGCATAATGGTGACGCGCTTAGCGTGGATGGCGCACAGGTTGGTGTCCTCAAAGAGCCCCACCAGGTAGGCCTCACACGCCTCCTGCAGCGCCATCACGGCCGAGCTCTGGAAGCGCAAGTCGGTCTTGAAGTCCTGCGCAATCTCACGCACCAAGCGCTGGAAGGGCAGCTTGCGGATCAGCAGCTCGGTGGACTTCTGGTAGCGGCGGATCTCGCGCAGCGCGACCGTGCCAGGCCGGTAGCGGTGGGGCTTCTTCACGCCGCCAGTGGCCGGCGCACTTTTACGAGCAGCCTTGGTAGCCAGCTGTTTGCGCGGGGCCTTCCCCCCAGTAGACTTACGAGCTGTCTGCTTGGTCCGAGCCATTTCCGAAAAACTGAGAAACAGTAAGGTATGTAAGACAGAAGAGGTTGCCTTTATATATACTCAAAAACATTCTGATTGGCCTTGCGCTTTTTCAAAAGTCCCGCGCAATAAAACCATTGGCTGACGAGTCAACGAGGTGATTGGTCAATTACTAGAGACTCTGATTGGATGAATTACTCCACATTCCAATCCCGTCTTTTACAGTCTGCAATTCAAAGGAGTTGATTTTCTAATGTAGTCAGAGCATTTCAAAAAGTAGATAGGGAACCACTTGGGGATGGTGTAAGATGCCAGTTCTGATTCAGTGGATCTATGTAATGGGGCCTAAGATTCTGAAGGCCACACTTTGAGAACAGATTTACTTGTATTTTGTTTTCTCAGACGGTTACTTTTTCTGAACTGAACCTACAATCAGTTCAGAAAATGGCATTGGACTGCCATTTCCTATCTGCATTCTGTGAAGCCTTTGACCTATATGGCAGGGTTCCAGGGTGGAGTGCCTAGGAAATCACAGGTAATGAGCCCCGCCCGGAGATGACGAGCAAACAACAGTGCTCAACAAATGTTGGTTGACTTCCCTATAGTAGCCCAGATGGGATTTTGCTTTAGTTCAGAATTTGAAAAGCCCGCGCTGATTTTCCATTTGTCAACGGTTCTATCGTTTTGCTATTCGGTAAGCCTTAAATGACCTTCCAGTCTACCACGCCCACCCGCCTTTTCCGCAGGGGAGAACATTAGTTTTTCTCCAAAATTGACTAGTTCCTTACTTTTGGTTTCCTTCCTCTGTGGAGAAATACTTTACGTGCTGGGCACTAATGAAGGAACATCGATGGAGTCAACCTGTCCATCCAAAAACTAAAGGTTTTGTAAACTTTCCTATAACTAACTTTCTTCCTTCCAATTATACTAAAACTCCTAATCATATTAAACATTTTCTCGTAAAAGTCCCGTTTCCCTGGATAATTCAAGCACAATAGTGCCACAAATAGCCACGATGCGCAGTGACTATCTACAGAGGCTGTAATAAAACATAACAGAGGCTGTAATAAAACATAACAGAGGCTGTAATAAAACGTAACAGTACAACTTAGAACCAGTGAGTTACAAGCTTTTTTTATGTGAAAATGTGGATGGCTCTGAAAAGAGCCTTTGGGTAATAGAAAAGGTGGTAGCTGCACAGACTATTTCAGTTGGTTCACTTGCCCTTGGTCTTGTGATGACTCTCGGTCTTCTTGGGGAGCAGCACAGCCTGGATATTGGGCAGGACGCCGCCCTGCGCGATGGTCACGCGGCCCAGCAGCTTGTTGAGCTCCTCGTCGTTGCGGATGGCCAGCTGCAGGTGGCGCGGAATGATGCGCGTCTTCTTGTTGTCGCGGGCCGCGTTGCCCGCCAGCTCCAGGATCTCGGCCGTCAGGTACTCCAGCACCGCCGCCAGGTACACCGGCGCGCCGGCCCCCACCCGCTCGGCATAGTTGCCCTTGCGGAGCAGGCGGTGCACTCGACCCACGGGGAACTGAAGGCCGGCCCGAGAAGAGCGAGTTTTGGCTTTAGCACGAGCCTTACCACCCTGCTTGCCTCGTCCAGACATAATGAAATACCAAGATCACGACAAGAACGAAAGAAATTGAAGCATACCAGAACTCAAGAAGCTAGACTATTATACTCTGCGCCGGTTTGGTAAAACAGCCTATGGTATTAACCGAACACAAACTTCAGCCAATCAAAAGGAAGGTCTAAAACAACGCCACTTCTAATTTACATAGAGTGTCTATAGTTGAAAGGTCAAGTTATCTAAGGTTGAGCTACGGAAAGAGCCAATGAGAGTTTGGAGTAAAGAAAGAGCCTATCAGACGTTAAGATACTGAAACAGCCAATCAGAAATCATAATTCTGCGATCCCTAATTTGCATATACATCAAGCAAATAACAAGGGCGTTTGTTCGTAGGTGTATTTTGCTTTCGTTCATTTGAGAGGTGGTGTGTGCGTTTTTGCAATGCCTGAACCAGCGAAGTCTGCTCCTGCCCCGAAAAAGGGCTCTAAAAAGGCGGTGACCAAGGCTCAGAAGAAAGATGGCAAGAAGCGCAAGCGCAGCCGCAAGGAGAGCTACTCCGTGTACGTGTACAAGGTGCTGAAGCAGGTCCACCCGGACACCGGCATCTCGTCTAAGGCCATGGGCATCATGAACTCGTTCGTCAACGACATCTTCGAGCGCATCGCGGGCGAGGCGTCGCGCCTGGCGCATTACAACAAGCGCTCGACCATCACGTCCAGGGAGATCCAGACGGCCGTGCGCCTGCTGCTGCCCGGGGAGCTGGCCAAGCACGCCGTGTCCGAGGGCACCAAGGCCGTCACCAAGTACACCAGCTCTAAGTAAACGTAGTGTGTAACAGCGCTAGCGATTACAAAAGGCTCTCTTAAGAGCCACCCACGTTGTCTCAAAGATCTGTAACTCCAAATGTGAAAATGGTTAGGGTAGTCAGTGTAATAAATCGGGACACATTACTTCGTCTTGCAGTTCAGAAAGAAGGCCCAAGAGTGCCTCTGTAGGCAGTTACATTGTGGTGTGTTCTACTTGGCTCCTACATTTAGCTACTAAAAAACAACGTAGCCTGGAGTTCTCGTTTGTCTCGCTCATCTAGAATTGTCTCCACCTCGAGAGGTGTGTTTTCCCGTTTTCAGTTTCATTTTGTCATCCCCATTCCCCTTAATGGGGAGTAACAAGGGGAAAATATGGAGTCTTAAATAATTTCGAGTGGCTTTTAAACAAAAATGAGAAGATTAGATCAATCGTGAGAAAACGAAACTACTTTTTGTAACTTCCTACTGTTAGTTTGCAAGCGGTTAGAGCTGCATCTGATAGAGAAACCACCTCTGCAGCTTGCGTTTGTAAACCACAGCAGATCTCACCCAGTCGTTCTCATACCTGCGTCGTTCAAGACCACTAATTTTTTCACTGAATGCATCGTTCTTGGATTATTTCACGTAGCTAAATTTTACCTTGGCCAGGTCAGGAACTGTTTCACCATCCACTAGAATTTTCTACTCAGCTTAATATACAAGGGTGTAAGAGACACTACAGGCAACAGGATAACATGGGAGGGGAGGAAGCAAGTGAGTCTCCAGTGCTAATTCAACAACCTGTGATTCCTGCGGGCTGAGGGGATCGAGATCTGCCTCAATCTGTCAGGCTCTTCACTTTTCAGCCCCAAGGATTCCCAGAGTTCTCCCGAAACTTTCTCCTCTGTGTCCTGGAATGACCTTGTCCAGTTACTTCTTTATTCCCTGGGATTTTAAAAGAAAAGGATTACAAGGAATTAACATTTACGTGTTCCTTCCTAGCATGTCACTGATTTTATCCTGCAGTTACCTGGGAAATGGAATCTCTCATTTTACAGCTGAATGACCTGAGGAATGAAGGTTAAGTAACTAGCCCCTTACATAAATAAAACTGGGATCTGAATCCCCATCTGTCTAATTCCAAGGACTCTTTCCGCACTATTTGTTAGACTTTTCCAGAGCAAGAGGCTAGTTGCAATCATAGGAATGGGGAAACTTAGGGTCAAAGGGAAAATAAAACATTAGAACAAAAGTAAAACCGGTTAGAAGATACACATGTTCTTGGAGGCACAGCAAAATCCTTCTATCAGCCAAAGTTTCTTTAAAAATATATACATATATATAATGAGACTTGGAACCCAAGGATCACCCGGCAGCAAGTTTAACTTTTCTGAGCACTGTGTGTGGAGGAGAAACCATGGGCATTGGCAGTATAAACCTGAGCTCAAAAACCTCATTTTCTACTTATTAGCTACAAATCTTTATCTGCAAATGCCTGCATAGCAGATTGCTGTGAACATGAAGTAAGTGACTCAATTTTGTAACGGGGCTTAGGAAGAAAATTCCCTAAACCCCATGTATAATTAAGACATTTCTTTCTTGCTCTCCAGAGTTAATTTTAAATAAATTTTAAAACAGTGCATTCATGAAAAGAAATATACAAGCATGATTTAAGGGGGAATCCCCCAGGACATGACACAGACCTGACTGCCTGTTTGAATGCTGAGTTTGGGCAAACTAGTCAAACCCTCTGTGAGCATGTTCTTACCTCTAAAATGGGAATAATAATTAGTAACTATCGCATAGCATTGCTGGGTGATCAATAAAAGAACACAAGTAAAGCATTTAGGATGGTGCCTGCACAGAGAACGTTCTCTAAAATATTAGCTGTGGCTAAAGCCTCTGATTGAAGTGATAGGGAAGGTGCCCTTGGTCCTGCCCATATTGGAATCTCAGAGTCCTGAGGCCTTGAACAAGGCAGCGGGCGGAAAAGCCTACTAGTATTTGACACTAATTATGGTTCCTTGTCTGGCAAATCCCTTTAACAGTCTACAACCCTCTTTAGAACCATGTCTTTCTCCTGAACTGTTTTGAGGACAACCTAGTGCCTGGCAGACTTCTCTGCCTTTGCTTGCCAATTCAAGTAACATGTGGCTTATTTTCCAGGGAGCTTCTGGTCCCTCACTAGAACTAAGAGTACCTCGTTTAATAGTCAGATGTGTTGGGTTATAAGGAAGGGACTCTGGAAACTCACACAAGAGCTGATTGGTAACTTTTTATCCCTTTTTTCTTCCCACACCTCCTGCTCCCTTTGCCTAACCTCCCTGTAGTGTCTGGCCAGAATGAAGAATCATCTTGAGAAAAGCTGCTACACTTTTAAAGCTCAAAGAGAATCAAGAAATCTGTCCACAATCATTCCCAGACTAGGAAAAGCTAGGGCCACCCCAAAGACTGCCGTGGGGCTGCCAACAATTGAGAAGACTACTATCAATCTTATTTCATAAAAGAACTATATTTTTATCACCTCAAAGGTATTAAAGATAACCTCGAAACAAGAAAGCTTTATACCAAATAAATTTGGTCCTTTATACCAAATAAATTGCATTAACTTTTAATATTAAGAAAAATTTACTACACTGCCTTTATTTTTCTCCTTTTGATACAGAATAGAGAAAACTTTGACATAGACTAACACTATTGCATTTGGGAACTGATTTGTTTAAATCTCTTTGTTTCAAAATTGAAAAAAGTGTCTCTGAATCAGCTCAACTAATCAGAGGAGGGCGCAGGCAGGGTTAAAGCAGATTTCTTGAGTATTTCCCCTCTCCTGTCTTAGGATAATATTTATTCTGCTTATTCTGAGAATCACAGGAGGAAGGGAGAATTACAGAAGGCACTTGTAAAACTGTAAGTTATGAATCCACATGTCACGAATACAGAGCAAACCCTCGTTATTTACCTGACCTAGGGTTCAGTCCTTGAACTGCTTCTCTTCAATATCAACCCTCTTTCCTAAGAGATGTTATCAGATCTTGTGGATTTTTTCCTCTCATGGCAGTTATACTGTGACAACTCCCAATTATGTTCCCTAAACTGCAGACTCATATACCCAACTGCCTATTTCCTATCTTCCTCTTAGATATATAACAAGCATCATCTCAAACTCTGCATATTCAATCCTAAGCCTATGATTCTCCCCAAAACTTGTACCTCCCATATTTTTCCCAGTTTTAGCAGTTGGTATCTGTATCCCAGTTGCTGTAGCTAAAATCACTGAGATCATCCATGAATTGTCTTTCTCTCATACCCTGCATTCACTAGCTCAGAAAAAAACTAGCAACCCTACCTTCAAAACATGTACAGAATCCAGCCACTTTTCACAGCCTCCTACACTAATACACTGGTCCAAGCCACTGTCATCTCTCAACTGTGTTATCATAGCAGCCTCCTAACTGGTCTCCCTACTCCTACCCTGGCCCCATCACAGTCTATTCTCCACCAGGCAGCTAGACAGATCATTTTAAAATATAAATCAGATCATGTCCATCCTCTGCTGAAAACCCTACAATGGCTCCTACCTCACTCAGAGTAAAAGTCAAAGTATTACACTGGCCTACAAGGCCATAGAGGAACTGCTGACCTCCATTTACCTCTCAGACCTTATCTCTTTTTCCTCCACGCTCCCTCGCCCTTCTCCTGCCCAGACACAATAACTCCTTGCTATCTCCAGGCTTTCTATTTTGGTCTTCCTTCTATTTGCAACTTCACTTTCTCCATCTTTTTTCCCCAACCATCACTTTATCAGTAAGGCCTTGCCTGACCACATTTCAAACATCGCCTCCTTCCTTCACACTTGATGCCTTTCCCTACTTCAGTGATCTGCATAGCACTTAGTACCATCTGACATAGTATATGTTTTACTTGGTTTGTTTGTGCCCTCCTCCAATAAAATATAAGCTCCACAAATATAGAAATATTGTTTTGTTCACTGTTATTCACTGCTATAATTCCCAGAGCATAGAACAGTACCTGGCATATGCTATATGCTCAATATTGTTTATTTGTTAAATTATCCTCATATAACTTTATCTCCTTAAACTGGTGCCTCAGCTTCAATTACATCTGATTCTTTTCGTATTTAAGCACTAAAGTCCATATCTTTAAAATACTAGATCAGATTCAAAATGGCTCCATTGATTTTCCTGAAGTCAAAGTATCACACTCTACAGATGATTTGCTGCCCACAAGGAGGAAAAACCTGATTTTATAATGGAACTAATCACCCTAAGCCGGTGATTGATCCATCTAGCATCTCGAATTTGGATAAGCCTGACATCACGTGCCCCTGATGTGGTGCAAGTAGCATACAGATAACATCGTCTATAAACTGTTCCTTGACAACAAAGTTGACGTGATTTCAATCACGTCTATGGAAATTACTTCTACCTTGCTGGGCAGACAGGGTATATAGCAGACAAGTAAAATGACCCCATGAGGAAACAAGCCAAACCAGAAGGACATTCTGTAGGTCAGGTCTCCAGCAAATCAATGTCAAAAAAAAAAAAAAAAGGGTGGGAGGGGAGGAGAAAACTGTTGCAGATTAAGAGACCTGAGACAGAACCAAAGGGGCGATGGGATCGTCCTCTGAGCAAATCTGATCTCTAAGACATTTGGGGCATAATCGGGATTTTTTTAAATGTGAACTGAGTAATAGATATGAGGGAATTTTGTTTTATTTAAGTCTAATTATATGGGAGTTTTTTTTTCTTGTAATGCATACCTGATAATTTGGGGTGAAATAGCCTGATGCCTGTATGTATACTTTAAAAAAAAATGCTATCATGTCTACTTAAATTTAGGTAACATCTACATACTGTTTATTAAGCAACATCCTTCCACCTACGTTAAATTTTCGTAACAGGAAGTCACAATTAGCCTCTATGCTGAACAATTCTTGCCAGCTCTCCCCACGTGTGCATTTTAATTTTTCCCCAAGCGCCTTTTGTACAACAGAGGCTTCTTCGGCAAGGAAAGCAACAGCGCACGCACTCTGAGCCCAGGAGAGCGCTCCTGCCTAGGGGGACGCTCGGTTCCGCTCGTGAATTCGCCTTTGTTCCAGGGCTCCCCTTCCCGCCGCCGGGGCGCGGGCTTTCTTTGTTCCTCGCCGTCTCTGCCATTTTGAGCACGGGAACACAGGCAGGAAAAGGGGGGTCTGTCCTCCTACCTCCCGGGCTGTTTAATCCTACTTCTCTACAGTACTCGAAAACCACGCATACACACGACTTAGAACTTTTAAGAACTCGAAAACTAAAAAGCTTCTTGAGGAAACAGGTCACCACCACCACGGGAGCTTTCACTGGCACCTAAAATATAAGCATCCAAAAAGCCTTGTTATGTAAATACAAATCAAAGCAGCGACAGCATGTAATGGTTATACACACACATACCACTACAATTTTGAATGCCTCCTTTTCGATAAACGTGGGATTAAAACTAATTTATGAATTGAAACTGAGTCGTAACCACCACGGAAAACACTGAAACGACCAAAACTTAAGAGACAAAAATGCTAAGCTCTTTCATGGAAATACTTGGGCGGCCCTGAAAAGGGCCTTTGATTGAAAAAAAGCTGTTAGGCTGCTGAAAACGGGTGACTTAGCCGCCGAAGCCGTAAAGTGTACGACCCTGGCGCTTGAGTGCGTAGACCACGTCCATGGCGGTGACCGTCTTTCGCTTGGCGTGCTCCGTATAAGTGACAGCGTCCCGGATCACATTCTCCAGAAAGACTTTGAGCACCCCGCGGGTCTCCTCATAGATGAGGCCGGATATCCGCTTGACACCACCACGCCGGGCCAAACGACGGATGGCCGGTTTAGTAATACCCTGGATATTGTCTCGCAGAACCTTCCGATGGCGCTTAGCACCCCCCTTTCCCAGCCCCTTTCCGCCTTTACCGCGTCCAGACATAACTACACAGCTCAAACCAAACTTAAGAGAGCAGCGAAAGTAGGACGCAATTCCTTTATATGTGAGGATTGCGGACCTAATTGAAGACTGAAGGCGCGCAGGCGGGAACCTCTGCTTATCCCGCCCAGCGCGCCGCCTCCCCCCCTGCGCACCGCCCACCCCGCGCGCCGGCCCTCCCCCCCGTAGCCCCGTTCGAGATGACGTCACGGACGAGTCGTCCGCACGCACGCCGAGCGTGCCCTCTGTGGAGGCGTCTCTGGCGCGTTCTGCGTCCCCAAGTAGGAGGTTTCGGAAGTTTTTCCCGACTGCGTCAGACCAAAGAAATTAATATTTTTCATTGGTTATCTTTTACTGCTTCAGATGTTTTGGGACGACCGCACAGGAGCCTTGACCCACGCGCCCAGAACTGCAGCAACCTTCGTTGGAATACGGAGTCCTGCTTTGCCCGCACGTTTACAGTGCTTCCGGCGTTTCTGCTCCCAGCGGCAAAGCCCCTTCTAGCCGAAACCCCTCTGCAGAGGAGTTAAACATTGCAAGACTTCACACTCTCCATCACTAACCGAGGGAAACCTGACTAAAAGAGTTTTCTTCCCAAAAGTGAATACGTGGTTGGTGATTCCCTGGTACAATTGTCGCCCGCCGCACAGAAGCCCGGGTTCCTTTCCTGGCTTGTTTTCTTTTCTTTTCCTGTTTATTAAAACGTGTAAGTCTCTTTTGAATATCTAGCCACCCCCCGACCTCTGCGCCCAGTAACAGTGTGTTAATCCTTACTTCTCTACTCTTAGTTTTGTTTTCTCTTTAATTCTGGTAGCGACGTTATACTAAAGAGAATTAGTAACTTTTAGTAGCCAAGATGCTAAAATAAATAGGCGATCTCGCGCAGACTTTTTAACCAAAGGTAGTCTGAATAAATCGCCTCTTAGTAGAGTTAAGGGTATTCTTAGAAGACGGGGCACTGCGGGGAGCAGAGTGGCGCAGCGGAAGCGTGCTGGGCCCATAACCCAGAGGTCGATGGATCGAAACCATCCTCTGCTAACGAGGTTTCCGGTTTTTTCTTTCCCTTTGATTAAAATTTTATGGCTTAGTTTCACAATAAGGAAAGAGAATTAAACGGAGTCTTTTTTTTTCAATTCTGAAATTAAAATTGTTTCCTGAAAATAAGCTGAAATTGTTTACATTCTCTGCAGTTACACGTGTCGTTCATGGATACTCAATTTTCATTAACTAATATGTCCTCTCTTAGTAAACCGGACTTCTTCTGGTTGCCAAAGTGACCGTGCTATTGTTGCCGCCAGTTATTATGACAGTTCTCGTTGTCCTATGAAGCCGGGAAAATGCTGAAATAAGCTAAGTGCAGGGGTGAGGACAGAGGTGGAAGCAGAGGTATGGAGTTGTATTTCCTTCTATACATAATTCAGAAAGCACTACTTGTTAGGTAGTTGTGGCCATGTGGTGAAGGCGCTAGACTAGATATCTACTGGGCCATCCTGGCACAGATTCTTTGCAACTACGAGAGTCTTCCTCTTTGGAGTAAATAAGTAACAATTTGAGACAGAATGCAGAGTTTTGGTGGCCACGATTGAACTCTGACCTGAGAAAACCGCTTCTGTGGTCTCTATTAGAAAATGTGTCTCCACCCTCTACCTTCCTTTACAATTTCTAACAGAACTATTCTCTATGCTTATTTTTTAAAGTATATATGTCGACTGTTTTATATTTCTTTCTTTCAGAAAGGATTCATATTCAGAGATTTATGTCAGATACTGTGCTAGGTGCTAACAAAAGGCATTAAGTAGCTTACAGTCTAGATATGCTTTTAAACAAGTAATTATGTAAGTATGCGTAGTAGAATGAGATGTTTCTTTAAAAAGGTTATACACTAAGTGCAATGGGAACAAGGGAAAATGATAGTTGTTTCTGGTAGGCCCATGACCACTCACTAGTTGGGTGATTCTCTGGAAGAACTCACGTGATTCAACATATATGCAAGGTTAAGATTTATTATAGTAAAGGAAACAGTGCAGACACAGCAGGAAAAAGATATCCACAAGCAAAGACTAGAGAAGGCTTTCTTGTCCTCCAAAGTCTATTTGAATATTGGAGCCCAAAGTTCTTCAAAGGAGGTGGTCACATACCTACCACATGACCAGCCATGGGGTGGACCCCAAACCAGACACCAGATACTTATCATGAATATTTATGATTACTTTAAATATGCTGATCACCTGGTTCATAATGAGCCACTACTTCAGGTGTGTAGAATAACATCATTACCCAGCAACTATGTGAACATTCTAGTATTTTATCTCTCAGAGTTTGACCAAGGGTCATCACCTTGGCTACAGAACATGTGAAAACTGAGGGAAATCAATTTGCTTCATTAACTTTGCCATAGCAATGGCCTAATTCAGGAAAGGTGGCAGATTTTGAGTCAAAAGTTGAATGAGTAAGAGTTTGCCAGGCAGTCAAAAAGAAGAGGATTCTAGGCAGAAGAAACAAATACAAGGAGGCATAATAGTTAAGAGTTTCTCAAGAACTACAGAAAATTCAATGTGATAGAACATGGAGGTGGGGGAGCTGGTAGAAGGGGGATTTGGAGAGAAAAGAAAAGTGGCTGTGTCCTGATCACCTCCTATTTACCCTGTTGCTGAAGAAGGAATCCTTTGCCCTGAATAATATGAGATGGCTGAACACACAACACTCAACACTGGACAGATGAGATTGGTAGCAGGTTACTAGTCACATACACCCACCACCTGGAAGAGGAGGGCACTGCATGCGAAGCGGGACCACACAGGGGTTGCACTACAGAGCATCGAGCATCGTGAACCAGCAGGGGCTATGGGAGGTAACCTTTGTAGTAACCAGAGGGTGGGGTGACCCCTGGTTCCCTTCAGAAGATATGATTATCTTATTTTAATAGTTTCGAGGGCTGACAGTGAGATGAAATCCATTAGGTTGAGGAGCCAGTGGGATGCACCTGGTCTGGCTGATAGCGGAGCTGGCCCAGTGGAAGGCGTATCTGGCGAGAGCAGAACTCACGGTTAGGTCTTTTGGAGGCCCTGTGAGGCCCAAAGATGTGAAGGGAGCACCTAAAATTTTAGGTCTTACAATGCAGGCTGGAGTTGTAGCAGAAGAGATAGGGAAAGGGCCAGTCATAAGAAAGTAAGTATGCGGTACAAACAAGTTTAGATTACATTTTTCTGTGGGCAATAGGAAATTATAACCAATTTTGATCAAAGGAGTAATATGATCAAATTCTCTTGTTAGAAAAAAGTCTCTGGAGTGTTCAAGATTGTGGTCTGGTCCTTGATTGTTTGTTGCTTTTGTTTGTTTTTACTGTAAACCATGCAACACTGTCTTTTATGATGTATGGATTTTTTAAAAATTATTTCTTCAATCACTCCATACACAGGCAAAAATAAGTGTACTGTTTGACATATTGGAACTTGCAAACTTGATCATTGCCTAGAGAAGAGAAAATTATCCCTAAAGCGTACTAAACCAGGAGGCCAATTCATCTGCCCACCTACAAGAACATGGAGATGAACGTGATAGATTGTCTCTCATCTGAACCTTCATTCACTGCTATTCCATAACCCTTCTTCAGGCCCAGATCAGCAGCACATTTCTTGTCAACAGTCATTAAGTGTCCAAGGCTTTCATCATCATCATCTTCTGCTACAGATATCTGGGGTACACGTTTCTTGGGTAGCACCAGAAAATATGTTGGTACTTGAGGGGAAGTGTCATGGAAACAAGACACCAGTCATCCTCAAAAATGATTTTGGCTGGATTTCCTTGCCGATGATCTTCCCAAAGATGATCATGTCTCCATCAAGCCAGATGCCTTAGCCTTGGCTATTTCCTTTGCCATCTCCACGTTCTTCCTCCCTCCTGTGTCTCCTGGGGAGGAGGGAGAAGCCAGTGAGTGGACAGAGCCTGATTGGTTTTTATTTTTCAGCAAGTCGTTTCTCTTCTAAGATGCGAGAGAGGGGATGGGAGGTTTAGGATATATTTTTTTTCTCCTCAATATATCTACTCACTATATATATGTATATCACCTTAATTTGACCACTCCATATTGGTCAACACCACTTGGATGTTTAATGTACAACTTAAACTTAACATAGCCAAACAGAACTTCTGATCTCAACACGCACTCCACCCTCAAATCCTTCTCCTGCAGTGGTCTCCATCTCAGTAAATGGAAACTTTGTTGTTATAGCAAAAAATCTTGGAGATGCGTGTGACTTCTCTATTTCTTTCACACCTTCAATCCAATCAGCAAATCTTTCAGAACATATCCAGAATTCAATCACTTCTCACCACTTCCACCAACACTACCCAAGATGGTTCAGCCACCATCTTCCTGCTTCCAGGAAGAAAGAGAGAACAAAATGTCCATATTCAGATTTTTTCAGGATAGAAGAATCTTTTTGTTAAATAATCTCCACATTAAAGATGATTGCAAAATTCAAACAAATATGTATATGAGAAATTCAGTCGATTTTTATTGAGCTGCTACTATTTGCCAGATGTTATTCTGTGGCCAGAGAAAGAAAGACTATGTAAAAGTCCCCATTTTTGTGCTCCAGAAGCTGCTAATTTACTAGTCAAGAAAAGCCAAGACCCATCACAAATGAGCCGAGAAGGCCAATGCTCCCAGAGTCTAGGATTTAAGAAAATTAAGGAAATGCCTTATGTGTGGACTGCTGACATCTTCAAAGGAGGTGCATGAGGTCACAGAGATTCACTGACAAGCTTGAAAGAAGCCATCCAAGGTATAATTTTAAATCTATATCACTTTATTGGGCCAAGCACTCCATAGAACATTATAAATTCTATAAATATCTCATCCATAGAATGATTTGATTGTAACATGTTTTGTGTTGATTCGTCTATTAAATGTAAAAATTAACAGCCAATATTTTTGTAATTCTGCTGTAGTGCTTATTTCTTAAGATTTGGGAGCCTCAAATAATAGTAATGGCCGTGGACCTCTCAAAACCCC